CTACGATTGTATATGATGTTACAAGATCTTGTAGTAAAATCTTACAAGAATCTTACAGTACGATATTCGTCTGGTACGTGGTGACAATGATTTTCATACCAAATCGTACAAGATCGTATATAATTTTTGTACGATCTTGCAAGAACATACATGATCTTAAAGTACGATCTTATATGATCCTATAAGAATCTTGTAAGATATTACAGTATGATTGTTTCGTATAAGAAAACATAAATACATTTTTAAATGCATTTTTAGAAAAATATTGGGATTTTCAAAAATACCCATATTCGGGATTAGCTCGGTATGTTGATGATTTTTTCATTGTTTCTGAGCTATCGGAGAGCCAAATTAAACAATCATACTGTGGTCATAAAATCTTTATCTAACTAGACAATGAACTGCGGAACTTTAAGAATCTTTAGATAATAACAGAGCCTCATGCTATCAGCAGCAAAAGCTTCACTTAGTCCAGATCCGTCCTGTTTCATTCCACTATTATTCAAATCTCTTCTTTTATTTTAGTTGATAAATGTTCTTGTGGTCATGCTTATTGTGGTCGTTGTGGTGGTGGTCGTCGTATTATTGGTTGTGATATTGGTGCTCGTGGTGCTGGTGCTGGTGGTTGTGATATTGGTGGTGGTGGTGGTCGTATTCGTATTATTGGTCGTATTCGTATTATTGGTTGTGGTGATCGTGGTGCTGGTGGTGGTGGTTGTGATATTGGTGCTGGTGGTGGTGGTTGTGATATTGGTCGTTGTTGTCGTCGTTGTCGTGGTGATGATCGTGATCGTCGTACGTGATACGTGATCGTCGTACGTGATCGTGATGGTTGTATTTGTGGTGCTCGTGGTGGTGCTGGTGATCGTCGTCTTTGTTGTAGTAGTCATTTACTGGTTGCATGATGGATGAGATTGTTTATGATAATGTCTCCATCTATGTTTGAAGGAAGCTTTGTAATCATGGCTTTGAGGGTAGGAAATATATGAATATAACCTTGCTTGTAAAGGGTGGGCGACGCCGTTGGTTAGTTACTAACTTTTCGAATATGCTGTTCGAAAGAGTAAAGTCTCAGCTTACGAGGATCTGATCAAATTGGTTTATTGTATTGTGTTTGGTAATTATAGCCACAGCCTGTGTAGAAAATGTACATCTGAGAAATACCTATTGCATCCATTGAAGAACTTATCTTACGAGTTTTTAAAATAAATAAAGTTTAGACAGATTGCCTGTGGTAAATGTCTAATATTCGCCGTACTTGACAATGCTACACCAAAGTAGCAAAGGAATTCATTATTGTGTTTTGGTTCGGCTGAATAGATTCGTTCAGCCATTCGCATAATTCAAGCGTCATCCCAAAACTTCATCGCTTTGCTATCATCTTTACCACTCTTTATTCCACTGTTTTCGATGAGAAACGATAAAAATTCAACGTAACAACCATCTTTTAAAAAAGAAGACTTTGAAATAGAAGTATTTAATTAGATCTATTCATACATTACTTGGAATATAATCCCATTAAATCCTGACAATAACCAGATTTTTTTGGCAGACTTTCTTCCATTAGATTTCCTATTACAATCTCAGCTTAGATCGGATTCCCGAAGCAAATATGACCTTATCACTACTAAATGTTTGTGTGATAAACGATGATCAGGATAACCACTCGAACAGAGTAAATTTGCTATTACTATTACATGCACACTAAAAAATAATGTGTCTTATAGTAAGACGCGGAAGTCGGATCAGAAAAAGTCGCATTAAAACGTCTTACTGTAAGCCACTATATGTGTCTTGCGAAGGCAGACACTTGAATGTGTCTTACAGCGAGACACATTAATGCATCTTTTTCTGATCCGACTTACGCGCCTTACTATAAGACCCCTGAAAGTGCCTTAAGTGCATTTTGTCTGGTTTAATTCGATGTTTTAGAACCCGATACAATGCAGGTACTTGAATCGCTACTTAAATTAATTGCAATAAGTAGTCGACTCAGTAACTTCCTGAAGA